AAGCAGTTTACCCATCAACCCACTAGCATCCTATACAAGAAGCAGTTTACCTGCCCACCCACTAGCATCCTATACAAGAAGCGGTTTACCTGCCCACCCACTAGCATCCTATACAAGAAGCAGTTTACCTGCCAACCCACTAGCATCCTATACAAGAAGCAGTTTACCCATCAACCCACTAGCATCCTATACAAGAAGCAGTTTACCTGCCCACCCATTAGCATCCTATACAAGAAGCAGTTTACCTGCCAACCCACTGGTATTCTCTTCAAGGAGCAATTTACCCGCCCATCCACAAGCATCCTATACAAGAAGCATTTTACCTGCCATCCAATAGGATCCTATACAAGAAGCAGTTTACCCATCAACCCACTAGCATCCTATACAAGAAGCAGTTTATCCATCATCCCACTAGCATCCTATACAAGAAGCAGTTTATCTGCCAACCCACTAGCATCCTATACAAGAAGCAGTTTACTCATCAACCCACTAGCATCCTATACAAGAAGCAGTTTACCTGCCCACCCACTAGCATCCTATACAAGAAGCAGTTTACCCATCAACCCACTAGCATCCTATACAAGAAGAAGTTTATCCATCATCTCACTTGCATCCTATACAACGAGCAGTTTACCTGCCTACCCACTAGCATCCTATACAAGAAGAAGTGTGTCCATCATCCCACTAGCACCCTATAGTAGAAGCAGTTTACCTGCCAACCCACTAGCATCCTATACAAGAAGCAGTTTACCCATCAACCCACTAGCATCCTATACAAGAAGCAGTTTACCTGCCCACCCACTAGCATCCTATACAAGAAGCGGTTTACCTGCCCACCCACTAGCATCCTATACAAGAAGCAGTTTACCTGCCCACCCATTAGCATCCTATACAAGAAGCAGTTTACCTGCCAACCCACTGGTATTCTCTACAAGGAGCAGTTTACCCGCCCATCCACTAGCATCCTATACAAGAAGCATTTTACCTGCCAACCCACTAGCATCCTATACAAGAAGCAGTTCACCTGCCCACCCACTAGCATACTATACAAGAAGTAGTTTACCTGCCCACCCACTAGCATCTTATACAAGGAACAGTTTACCTGCCCACCTACTGGTATTCTCTATAAGGAGCAGTTTACTCGCCCACCCACTAGCATCTTATACAAGAAGCAGTTTACCTGCCAACCCACTGGTATTCTCTACAAGGAGCAGTTTACCCGCCCACCCACTAGCATCCTATACAAGAAGCAGTTTACCTGCCAACCCACTGGTATTCTCTTCAAGGAGCAATTTACCCGCCCATCCACTAGCATCCTATACAAGAAGCATTTTACCTGTCATCCAATAGGATCCTATACAAGAAGCAGTTTACCCATCAACCCACTAGCATCCTATACAAGAAGCAGTTTATCCATCATCCCACTTGCATCCTATACAAGAAGCAGTTTATCTGCCAACCCACTAGCATCCTATACAAGAAGCAGTTTACTCATCAACCCATTAGCATCCTATACAAGAAGAAGTTTATCCATCATCCCACTTGCATCCTATACAAGAAGCAGTTTACCTGCCAACCCACTAGCATCCTATACAAGAAGAAGTGTATCCATCATCCCACTAGCACTCTATACAAGAAGCAGTTTACCTGCCAACCCACTGGCATCCTATACAAGAAGTAGTTTACTCATCAACCCACTAGCATCCTATACAAGAAGCAGTTTACCTGCCCACCCACTAGCATCCTATACAAGAAGCAGTTTACCTGCCCACCCACTAGCATCCTATACAAGAAGCATTTAATCTGCCAACCCACTAGCATCCTATACAAGAAGTAGTTTACTCATCAACCCACTAGCATCCTATACAAGAAGCAGTTTACCTGCCCACCCACTAGCATCCTATACAAGAAGCAGTTTACCTGCCCACCCACTAGCATCCTATACAAGAAGCATTTAATCTGCCAACCCACTAGCATCCTATACAAGAAGCAGTTTACTCATCAACCCACTAGCATCCTATACAAGAAGAAGTTTATCCATCATCCCACTTGCATCCTATACAAGAAGCAGTTTACCTGCCAACCCACTAGCATCCTATACAAGAAGAAGTGTGTCCATCATCCCACTAGCACCCTATACAAGAAGCAGTTTACCTGCCAACCAACTAGCATCCTATACAAGAAGCAGTTTACCCATCAACCCACTAGCATCCTATACAAGAAGCAGTTTACCTGCCCACCCACTAGCATCCTATACAAGAAGCGGTTTACCTGCCCACCCACTAGCATCCTATACAAGAAGCAGTTTACCTGCCAACCCACTGGTATTCTCTACAAGGAGCAGTTTACCTGCCCATCCACTAGCATCCTATACAAGAAGCATTTTACCTGCCAACCCACTAGCATCCTATACAAGAAGCAGTTCACCTGCCCACCCACTAGCATCCTATACAAGAAGCAGTTTACCTGCCCACCCACTAGCATCTTATACAAGAAACAGTTTACCTGCCCACCTACTGGCATTCTCTATAAGGAGCAGTTTACTCGCCCACCCACTAGCATCCTATACAAGAAGCAGTTTACCTGCCAACCCACTGGTATTCTCTACAAGGAGCAGTTTACCCGCCCACCCACTAGCATCCTATACAAGAAGCAGTTTACCTGCCAACCCACTGGTATTCTCTTCAAGGAGCAATTTACCCGCCCATCCACTAGCATCCTATACAAGAAGCATTTTACCTGCCATCCAATAGGATCCTATACAAGAAGCAGTTTACCTGCCCACCCACTAGCATCCTATACAAGAAGCATTTTACCTGCAAACCAACTAGCATCCTATACAAGAGGCAGTTTACCTGCCCACCCACTAGCATCTTATACAAGAAGCAGTTTACCTGCCCACCCACTAGCATCTTATACAAGAAGCAGTTTACCTGCCCACCCACTAGCATCCTATACAAGAAGCAGTTTACCTGCCAACCCACTGGTATTCTCTACAAGGAGCAGTTTACCCGCCAACCCAACAGTATCCAGTACAAGAAGCAGTTTACCCTTCAACCCAACAGTATTCTCTACAAGGAGCATTTCACCAATCAAACCACTAATTGCTTTACTGTCTCTGTCACCGAACACTGATCTATTCATTGCAAGAGTTTAAGGAGCTCCAGCTATAGTATTCTTATTGGGGGTTATAATGAACCGAGTCCTTAATGACTGCTTTATTTATTGACAACATGTCAAAAACACTTGTTAGATAAAGTCAACACGAGAAAACGTCCTTACTAGCAAGGTATGTAATCAGTCAGCCTGTGAGTCCGCCAGACAGACAGCACACATGCATCAATGGCCACACACCCGTACTTGTACTTCGTTCATATGTACCACCCTCCAAAGGTATTGATTATATAGCTGCACGAATCTCAAAAGATAATTAGTTTCACTACTACCGTATTTATGAGTGACTAATATTGTGTGTAATCAAGTAGCTGAGAGATGGTCTGCCTGCGGCGGTCGAGGAAATACGCCTATGTGGTAACACTAGCCGAACACCAGACACCCATTCACCCCTGTTCTGACAAAGATTATCGCGTGCCTTGGATTCGGAAACCGGGGTATATTTTGCAGAACCAATTCCATTATATATAAACGGGAAAGAGGTGTACTTGACACTTAAACAGACCATAAAGTCCTCCGCCACTGACACCGAACGTGGCATCCTTTCACTGCATCCTCCTGAAAAAACAACCTCCACCAACAAAAACCCAACCCATACCCATTTAACTCGTGTATAAAGCGCGAGGATTGAGTTCGTTAGCGTTGTGCTTGCCTCTTCTTCTCGAAAATCCAACAACATTGATTTCAGAATAAACGTTCTCATCAGTTCTGCAATGCTAGAGATACAAAAAGTGAAAAACGTTCCCTGGCGGCATGCGTGTGTCATGTAAAACACTAATTACTTGTGTTATGAAACTTCATCGTCACTGATTGAATCTAATTAAAGCTGCATGCTGCGAGTCTGGTTTCGCCGCTCTGCTTTCCAGGAAGATCTATAACGGTTGAGAAAAACGTCTACAAAGAAAAGTAATGAAATCTGGTATTGGTTTTCCTGGAAGTACAGTTGTACAAGGTGGATACAGTCAGGAGTCGCCTGTAATAGACCTACCATCTGTGGGTGCTCGGACGCCGCAATACGGTGTTAGTTATTTGAGGCAAACAAGGCAATCAATATTGGCCATTGGCTGTATAAGACAGAAAGGGGACACCGCACAAAACCTGTATGTGCTTGATTAGGTGCAATCTATGGACACCTTCTTGCTTGCAATGAACGATTCAGTTTGGGAGAATACATTGTGTATGCAGTATTCCAGCAACAAGGCGGAAGTTACTCATGATGATAGTATAATGCAGCACCTCAAGGTGCTTATCCAAGACCACAGATTACTGGAGAATCCAAAGCAACAGATACACAGTAGTAATGTGTTTAGATCTAAACACAAACCTTGACACGTTCCTTGTCCCATACTTGCGTCTTGCCATGTTAATAACCAAAACATAATCGATATATCAATATTCATGACTGGCATATATGGGCAGTTTCATCAAGACTTTTACTGGCCGCTCTGCTGTTGTGCGAAGGTAACATATTTACAGTAAACATATTTACAGTAGGATATCATCACCACCAAGGGCATCCAAGTTGAAAAATGTCAATTCAATTCCACAATCAATTACATTTGCATGATGATACAGTTGTCACGCGGGGGCTATACAACTTAAAATATCATAATATACTTAAGTGAAAAAACAATTCAATGCCGACATTCAACCAGAAACATCCCCACCCACACCTGCACCCTCAACTACACCTGCACCCTCAACCACACCCACACCCACACCCTCATCACCCATCCCATCCACACTCGTCCTCCCACCACCACCTGCCACCCCTCTACTGCCACCCCACCCACCCACAGAAAGCCAATGGAAGCCCTCCTCCTTACCACAAGCATGCTCTTCTTGTCTTCGCAGGGTCACATATCATTGGGCCACCTGGGGACAGCTATGTTTCCCTGGATACACACACTATCACGTATAGGTTGAATGGTGAACGTGAAATTGGATATCCAGAGTCATATATCCACAAGAGTCTCAAAGGTCAGCGCCATATCACGTTTTGTTATAAATGTCATATAGCAGTGGCAAACCTTCACATCACAGGAATATTGTCTCGGCGAAATCCTCTTGGAGGAACCCTGCAACCAAACCGAGACTTTGGAATGTCCAACGTGATTTAAGCAAGATTGGGAGATATCAACATATATTTCTTATTAAAATGATTTTTAAAAAAATCGGTTCAGCATATCGTTGCCAGGGTAACTCTTGATTACAGTAAGAAGCGAGTGATGTATCCACCCTGTGTTCGAGTTTTAACTTTGATAAATAAAACAACTCTGTGTGGTACAGGGCCATCGGTCAAGTTATTGCTATTGTTATCAAAGACAAGTATTGCATCTTTAGTTATGTCATATATATCAACTGTGTATCTAAAAACAACTGTGTGCTTTGATGAGTCTTAGTTCTTCACTTCACAATGTACCATGGAAAACGGGTTTTTTTCTTAATAACTTAAACCAAGATCAAAATTCGATAGAAAAACTGTAAATAGATTAAATGCCTAATATAGTCAGCTTGGTATTCGTCTCATTACTGCAAACGTTTTTTACATAAAAGATTCTAAGGCGATGCATTATGACCTTCTTCATAGAGAGGAGGTGTATGATATTTGTCTTACATCTGAAAAAAATCAGCTTACCTTTTGCTGTGTGAAAAATATGCTTATCCAAGGGAAGAAATTCACTGAAGGATCAAAGTTCAATATCAGTTCCGATTTTCTAAGAAATACCTTTGTGACTTGACTCTGAATCACGAGCCTTGTCCTCAACATAGCATAAGCGCATACGGCCAGTCGTGTTTAATTTCCGGTGTGTGCCAAACTTAAACACAAATCTTAATATCATACCCTAGCAAACTAGATGAGATGACGTGTTACTGCTGCTAGGGTTGAAAACCCAGTGTTGTGTGGTATTGACGTGAGGTGCTGGAGACTGGAGGGCCGTGCTGGCTTTGCGTGACATGTCTGCCAAGACTCCTGACCAATCAGGTCTGGGGAAGGTCGATATACCATATCCCGCGGTAGAGTATCTTAATCAGATAATACGTACGTGTACAAATCTGTATTGATTAGAACAGCTGTCTTGGAATATAATTCCTCAGCAAGGTTAGACCAGAATCCAGTGGGCTAAGAGGCATCGCGAGAACAACTTAAAAGTTGCTCATTGCCTGCCCCCAGTAACACAACGCAGAGAGCCTCTGCATGTCTGAGTGAAGCTGTTTTACTGCCGCCCCGATAGCGACATAACAGACACGGTGATGGTGACCTAAACAAATGGTCTTTAACATCGTTAAAGCTGAATTAAAATTAGAAGACTAATCAGGAAATATCGAATTTGTAACGTGAATGGCGTATCTCCACAGAACCAAACTTTAACTCGACTTAACAATAACCATGCTGATACAATGTATGTAACTCACTTAGTTGTATTTTCCGACGTAAGGCACCAAGCTGACCTGTGTTGTATTTCCCGACGTAAGGCACCAAGCTGACCTGTGTTGTATTTTCCGACGTAAGGCACCAAGCTGACCTGTGTTGTATTTCCCGACGTAAGGCACCAAGCTGACCTGTGTTGTATTTCCCGACGTAAGGCACCAAGCTGACCTGTGTTGTATTTTCCGACGTAAGGCACCAAGCTGACCTGTGTTGTATTTCCCGACGTAAGGCACCAAGCTGACCTGTGTTGTATTTCCCGACGTAAGGCCCAAAACTGACCTGTGCTGTATTTCCCGACGTAAGGCACCAAGCTGACCTGTGTTGTATTTCCGAACGTAAGGCACCAAGCTGACCTGTGTTGTATTTCTTGACGTAAGGCACCAAGCTGACCTGTGTTGTATTTCCGAACGTTAGGCACCAAGCTGACCTGTGTTGTAAATCCAGCCAGAAGGCACCAACCTGACCTGTGTTGTATTTCTCGACGTAAGGCACTAAGCTGACCTGTGTTGTATTTCCCGACGTGAGGCCCAAAACTGACCTGTGCTGTATTTCCCGACGTAAGGCACCAAGCTGACCTGTGTTGTATTTCCGAACGTAAGGCACCAAGCTGACCTGTGTTGTATTTCTCGACGTAAGGCACCAAGCTGACCTGTGTTGTATTTCCGAACGTTAGGCACCAAGCTGACCTGTGTTGTATTTCTCGACGTAAGGCACCAAGCTGACCTGTGTTGTATTTCCGAACGTTAGGCACCAAGCTGACCTGTGTTGTAAATCCAGCCAGAAGGCACCAAGCTGACCCGTGTTGTATTTCCCGACGTTAGGCACCAAGCTAACCTGTGTTGTATTTCCCGACGTTAGGCACCAAGCTGACCTGTGTTGTAAATCCAGCCAGAAGGCACCAACCTGACCTGTGTTGTATTTCTCGACGTAAGGCACTAAGCTGACCTGTGTTGTATTTCCCGACGTGAGGCCCAAAACTGACCTGTGCTGTATTTCCCGACGTAAGGCACCAAGCTGACCTGTGTTGTATTTCCGAACGTAAGGCACCAAGCTGACCTACGTGTATTTCCGAACGTTAGGCACCAAGCTGACCTGTGTTGTAAATCCAGCCAGAAGGCACCAAGCTGAGCTGTGCTGTATTTCCCGATGTAAGGGTTTGGTTTGGTTTGGTTGTTGTTTAACGCCGCACTCAGCAATACTCCAGCTATATGACGGCGGTCTGTAAATAATCGAGTCTGGACCAGACAATCCAGTGATTAATATCATGAGCATCGACCCACGCAATTGGGATCGATGACATGCATCAACCAAGTCAGCGAGCCTGACCACCCGATCCCGTAAGTCGCCTTTTACGACAAGCATAGTCACCTTTTACGACAAGCATGGGTTGCTGAAGACCTATTCTACCCCGGAATCTTCACGGGTTCCCGATGTAAGGCACCTAGCTGACCTGTGTTGTATTTCCCGACGTAAGGCACCACGCTGACCTGTGTTGTATATCAAGCCAGAAGGCACCAAGCTGACCTGTGTTGTATTTCCCGACGTAAGGCACCAAGCGGACCTGTGTTGTATTTCTTGACGTAAGGCACCAAGCTGACCTGTGTTGTATATCCAGCCAGAAGGCACCAAGCTGACCTGTGTTGTATTTCCCGACGTAAGTTACCAAGCTGACCTGTGTTGTATTTCCCGACGTAAGGCACCAAGCTGACCTGTGTTGTATTTCTTGACGTAAGGCACCAAGCTGACCTGTGTTGTATATCCAGCAAGAAGGCACCAAGCTGACCCGTGTTGTATTTCCCGACGTAAGTTACCAAGCTGACCTGTGTTGTATTTCTCGACGTAAGGCACCAAGCTGACCTGTGTTGTATTTCCCGACGTAAGGCTCCAAGCTGACCTGTGTTGTATATCCAGCCAGAAGGCACCAAGCTGACCTGTGTTGTATATCCAGCCAGAAGGCACCAAGCTGACCTGTGTTGTATTTCCCGACGTAAGGCACCAAGCTAACTCGTGTTGTATATCCAGCCAGAAGGCACCAAGCTGACCCGTGTTGTATATCCAGCCAGAAGGCACCAAGCTGACCTGTGTTGTATTTCCCGACGTAAGGCACCAAGCGGACCTGTGTTGTATTTCTCGACGTAAGGCACCAAGCTGACCTGTGTTGTATATCCAGCCAGAAGGCACCAAGCTGACCTGTGTTGTATTTCCCGACGTAAGTTACCAAGCTGACCTGTGTTGTATTTCTCGACGTAAGGCACCAAGCTGACCTGTGTTGTATTTCCCGACGTAAGGCACCAAGCTGACCTGTGTTGTATTTCCCGACGTAAGGCACCAAGCTGACCTGTGTTGTATATCCAGCCAGAAGGCACCAAGCTGACCCGTGTTGTATATCCAGCCAGAAGGCACCAAGCTGACCTGTGTTGTATTTCCCGATTGACACACTACCAGTGTAGAAGCTCAAAGTAAAGTTTCCTTACGCCGAAACCTACATGTACACAGCAGATAAGGGAACACAACCGAGAAGATTTGTAATACCGACGGTTAACCACTCACTTATTGTTCACCACATAAATCACCATGTAATGAACACTGCGTCAACAAAATTTGGATATTGAGTTTCACTCTTCAACAAATACTGGACATCTATAGATTTAATGTTTGCCTAACATGTCAACATTATAACCTTTGACATCCCATGACATCTAGTCAGGCTATCAAACGGAACCGATGAATGACAAATAGAAGTCTGAATATACTGGTTACACTTCTGGATTGATTTAGGTCATGCACACACATCCTTACGGTCTTACTGTGATTTAGTTGTGGTCTAGCCAGTAAATGGTGGTCTAGCCTGTGGACGGTGATCTAGCCTGTAGACGAGATGCGGTACAGCTTGGTGGTCTAGGCTGTAGACGAGGTGCGGTACAGCTTGGTGGTGTAGGCTGTAGACGAGGTGCGGTACAGCTTGGTGGTCTAGGCTGTAGACGAGGTGCGGTACAGTTTGTGGTCTAGGCTGTAGACGAGGTGAGGTACAGCTTGGTGGTGTAGGCTGTAGACGAGGTGCGGTACAGCTTGGTGGTCTAGGCTGTAGACGAGGTGCGATACAGCTTGGTGGTCTAGGCTGTAGACGAGGTGCGGTACAGCTTGGTGGTCTAGGCTGTAGACGAGGTGCGGTACAGTTTCGTGGTCTAGCCTGTAGACGAGGTGCGGTACAGCTTGGTGGTCTAGGCTGTAGACGAGGTGCGGTACAGTTTGGTGGTGTAGGCTGTAGACGAGGTGCGGTACAGCTTGGTGGCATAGGCTGTAGACGAGGTGCGGTACAGCTTGGTGGTCTAGACTGTAGACGAGGTGCGGGTCACAATGAAGCTACCCTGGTTGTTGGTCCTCAGCCTTATGTTTAATGATGCGTTATAACAATTTAAGTCGTAAAAAGCAGTTGCAAGAAACTCAATAGCCAGCCTGGGAGTAGCAAAAGCTAATTGCAAGCATGCATGCAAAGATGGATAAAGTTAAAAACGTCGACTCGAAAATCAACATTACTGTTGGAACAAACTAATGCATTAGCGGCAGTATTTCTAGGAGTCTAGCGGTCAATACGACAGTACCCTGTAACTCGCACATTAGCCCTTCACAACAAACTTCCGGTAGTCGTACGCATCCTAAAAGAATCCTGTCCAAAGACTGAAGCCGGCCTCTCTACGATGCACGCACAGTTGATGACGAAGGAAGCGCTGTATTATCTATATGTCGCGTCATTGCGATAATGGAGAACTCTGAGTTCAGCGTCGGCGTGGGGACATCAAAGCGACCCTATTATCGAAAACGTCGATATTGACAACAAAAGATGGAATTCAAGACTTAAGTTTCCTTTTACATCAAAGTCCTGTGTCTGTTTCTGGGAAACGAGGGATCCGCTGGGATACAAAACACAGCTTGGTGTTCAAACATTAGTCAGTAGTGTCATATGTTTTAATGCATTTGTTAAATTGCATCAAAATAATGCATACTAGATTTGGAGAGCAACGCGAATGCTCCAAAAAATAACGGACAACATACAAACAAAGTGATTAATCCAGAAGAAGTAAGCGAAAGATACGTTTCCTTGGTATATGATCCTAGTGGTTATTCAAATCGGTCGCTGGTCAGACCGAACGTCCTGTTAGTTTCTCAACACTAGTATCGATATGTCTAATTACAGATAAGACATTTTAACTTTGGACCTTTATATATATTGAAATATGTAAGTGTACTAGCCAGAACGCCGAGATTAGGGGATGAAGACACGACATGGAGTGTGAATCCGTTTATTCATTACAACGATTGTAGAAGTAGTACCAGTAGTAGAATCAGTAATACTAGTTTATTCAGTACAACAGTAAATTGCTTGAGTGTGTTAGTGTGGTATATAATTAAAGCTGTGGTGTGTAAGTGAAGATGTATACTTATAGCTGTGGCGTGTAAGTGAAGTGTATTCTTATAAAACTCAGAGTGTTCATTTGTGTTGATCGTTAGGTTTCTTCAAACTTGAGAAAGACCCACATGAGGTTTTACTTGCGTAGAAAACCCGGGACTTACTGTAGAAGACCCGGGGACTTGATTTTCATCGATATTAAAAGTTATATATTTCAGATCAAGTCCCTGGGTCTTCCACAGTAAGTCCCCAGGACTTCCTTCCATACCCTTTATTTTTTTTTAAACCCGCAATACTAGATTTCCTTCACTGTAATTGGTGTTGACATTTACAATGATACTCTTTGCAGGCTGGGAGCATTAAATTGTCTGTCATAGCCCTTTGACCACGCTCTTCTTGCCATCGTTTAAATACAGCAAATGCCCACGAGCTCTTGTACTGGGTAGTTTTGGGGATAACACATTCAATATTCTTCTGGATATCTTCAATACATAACGGGTCGCCAAAACGAGACACAAATTCATCGGGCCGTTCTTCGTCACAGTCATCTGCATTTTTAGTTTTCGTTTGTGTGAGAAATAAATCGTCACCTTCCTCTCTCTCCCACATCTTGCCACTAAATGAAACTCGACTGTAAGCTGTCCACATTATGACGGACACGCTCACGGGCAATGCGTGCGTGCACGACCAGCACGTGCATGACAACTGTAGTCGTCACTCAACATAGCTCACGGATGCGTTTATAGTCTCGTTATATCGCATATATAGATCCTCGTTATTGTGTATCTCAATTAGAATTAACTTTGTCGGTTTGTAAGTCAGATAAAACACTTATCCTCGGTTTTGGTTGAAAATGTAAACCCGCCTGGTCGGAAAGATCCTGCGGGCCTTCGGTGTGTAAATGTGGATGTATACTAATAGCTGTGGTGTGTAAGTGAAGATGTATACTTATAGCTGTGGTGTGTAAATATGAAGGTGTATTGATAGCTGTGGTATGTAAATGTGGATGTATACTAATAGCTGTGGTGTGTAAATGTGGATGTACATTAATAGCTGTGGTGTGTAAATGTGGATGTATACTAATAGCTGTGGTGTGTAAATATGGAGGTGTATTCATAGCTGTGGTGTGTAAATGTGGTGTATACTAATAGCTGTGGTGTGTAATTGTGGATGTATACTTATAGCTGTGGTGTGTAAATGTGGATGTATACTAATAGCTGTGGT